CTCTACCACTTGAGCCACAGTGTCACTTCTGGCTTTTTTCTTTTTGCTTATGTGGTGCTGAGGAATCGAACCCAGGGCCTCTGGCATGCAAGGCATGCGCTCTACCACTGAGCCACCTTCCCAGCCCTAGTCCTGAATTTTTTAAGGTGAACATTCCATGTACACTTGGAAAAATGTTTATTTTACTGTTGTTTGCGCTGTTCTTTTTTTTTTTTTCGGTGGTGGTTGTGGTGCTAGGGTTCGAACTCAAGGCCTTGGGTTTGCTAAGCTGGTACTTTCAGCTGAGCAATACTTCCAGCCCTTTTTGTACTATTTTGAATGAGCTGTGCCTGGACTGTGATTCTCCTATTTTACATGTCCCACTATAGTGGAGATGACAATCATCCCGAGTTTCTTCCATTAAGATGGAATATTGTGAACTCTTTTTGTCCAGGTGGGCTTTGAATTACAGTCTTCCTGATTTCAGTATCCTACCTAGCTAGGATGATAAACACACACTACTATACTCACCTACTTGTTGAAAAGGGGTTTTGAATGGATTGAGGCTTAACCTCATTTCCTTCCTCCTTCTCCAAAACACTCACTAGAGTGTCAAATATATACATATATATATATATACACACATTTCCATACATGTGTGTATGTGTTCCTGTTAGATGTCATATATTTTGTTTTAAGCAACTCAAGAAAGGAGCAATACTCTTTTATATTTATACAGATGTTTTTAATTTTATTCTTCTTCTTTATTTCTTGATGTTAAAGGCTTCCTTCCTTTCTCTTTTGTCTGTCATTTCTCTTTTGTCTGCTCCATTTACAGCAGTTCTGCTGGAAACAAAAATTCTCTTTGCTTTCCTTTACCTGAAAAAGTATTAATTTCACTTTAATTCCTCAAGGATATTTCAACTGAATATCAAACTCTTAGTATTTCACTTAGCACTTTAATATTCTTTTTACTTCTGGCCTCACTTTCTTTTTAAAATTAGCAGTCATTCAATTTATAACAGTTTGAATATGATATGCTTGGTAATTGCTCTCATTCAATTTATGATGTTCATTATTAATTGATAATCTTAAGTCTATGTGTTATATATATTTTTGTGTGTGCCAGTCCTAGATAATATCCTTGAGCACAAAAGCACTCTATCACTTTAGTCACAGCTCTACTTCTGGCTTTTTTGGTGGGTAATTGGAGATAAGAGTCTCAAAGACTTCCCTGCCTGGGCTGGCTTTGAACCACAATCCTCAGATCTCTGCCTTCTGAGTAGGTAGGATTATAGGCATGAGCCACTGCTGCTTGGCCAAAGTTATAACATGTCAAATTTGGCAAGTGGCAAGAAATTATTTTATCAAATGCCTACTTTTTCTACTACTCTGTCTTCTATGAGGATATGAATATTAATTCATATCTTCCTTAATCTTTTCTCTCTCTCCCTGTTGTTTAGAATAGATAGTTTCTAACAACATCTCTCAAAGTTCATTGGCTTTTTCCTTGGTCATCTACATTCTGCTATTAATCATATCCTGATAGTCTTTAGCTACTATTTTTTTTTAATTTAAAATTTCTATGTGATTCTTTATTTTATTTTGTATTTCTTTGTTAAGAAATACATTTTCCATCCACTTTAAGGACACTCACTCTTCATTTGGGGGATTGTTTTATAATAGATGTCCAAAAGACATTGTTGATTATTTGAACATTCATGTCATCTGCCTTTTCCCATACAAGTTGAGACATTCCTAATTTTTCATATGTAGATGACTTGGGATTGAATTTTGTACATTTTGAATAACATGTAATAAGATTTGGGGTCTTATTCAAAGTCTATGGAAAATGTTGACATTTTAATTTTAGTTAGAGTCAAGGTTTAGACTCTTTAAGGCTTAGGCTAAAGTCTCAGGTTGAGACTTCAGCAGTATTTAGATTTAGTCTCCTTATTCACTATGGCTGGTAATTTCAACATCAGTTGAAATCTGGTGATTTCAACTCCAGTTCCATTTCCCAAAGTCTTTTTTGTGCTTTTCACACCACTATCAATATGTGTCCTACACAGTGGTCAGTATGAGATCAAGATGTTGATGTATTCCATAGTTCATTTTTCAAGGTCTCAAGTATACTATTTCATGTTAGAGTCACACGTACTCAACTGGGAATCCTGTAGTTTGTCAACAGCATTACAAGATCTTTCTTTATGCTTCTTACATCTTTGTGATGTCTTTAGTACTTTTCAGTCCTTTGAGCCCCCCATTTTGGTCCTTTGGCTAGAAAGCTGTGGATTTACCCTATTGTGCAATTCATTTTTTTTACTTTTTATTTTATTTTTTGTGGTCATGGGGCCTAAACTCTGGGCCTGGGCACTGTCCCTCAGCTCTTCAGCTCAAGGCTAGCGCTCTACCACTTGAGCCACAGAACCACTTCCGGCTTTTTTTTCTTTTTCTTATGTGGTGCTGAGGAATCGAACCCAGGGCCTCATGCATGCAAGGCAAGCGCTCTGCCACTGAGCCATCTTCCCGGCCCTGCAATTCATTTCTTATGCTTCTGCATCTGAGACTGAGAAGTGGGCATAGATAGACAAATGGGGTTCATTCCGATTTCCTGACACCACAGGAAGGAAGGTTCTTCTCCATCAGGGTTTTAGGCATCTTTGATGAAGCTTTTGCTCTTCCTGCGATTCTGCCACCCTACTGTTGCTTGATGGGTGGCTTGCAAGAGACAGGAGTGTGGTAAAGCCTCTCTCCACTTGTTCATCTAACAGTGGAGGGCTTCTCCTGGAGTACTGTCTGTACAGTGCCTTGTCTTAGGTCACAGGCTGTGTTCAAACTAGACTGACAGATAGCAGAGAAAGACAACTGGTGAATCACTATCAGGTCACTGGGCCTGATACTATTTACCTTTGTGCATTCTTAAGAAGCTGCTTTGGGGCTGGGAAGGTGGCTCAGTGGTAGAGCGCTTGCCTCACATGCATGAGGCCTTGGGTTCGATTCCTCAGCACCACATAAATAGAAAAAGCCGGAAATGGCACTGTGGCTCAAATAGTAGAGCACTAGCCTTGAGCTGAAGAGCTGAGGGACAGTGCCCAGGCCCAGAGTTCAGGCCCCACCACGATGATGACTACGACCCAAAAAAAAAAAAAAAAAAGCTGCTTCATGAATTCTGCTTAGGTATCAGAGCTACATTCAGTGGGAGAAAGAGGATGGAGTCTAATTACCCCATGTCACTACAAAATAAACCTTTCAATAAAGTGCATAAAATTGTACAATTCAAGCATTTTCATAAAGGAAACACTCTTGTAAATACCACACATCCCAGGTATCTATCCTAGCCCTCCAGAAGCCTCCGAGTCACTAACTCCACACTTAACTCCACACTTCTTCCCAAAGATTCCTTTCTTAAAAAAAATCTATTTTATATTTGTTGAAAAGGTGATGAGCAAGGGGGCTACATTTACATAAGTAACTGTAACATTTTCCCCAAAGAGTGGCTGGGAATGTGGCTCAGTGGTAGAGCGCTTGCCTTGCATGCCTGAGGCCCTGGGTTTGGTTTCTCAGCACCACATAAGCAAAAAAATAAAATAATAATAATAATTGCATTTTCCCCAAAGATTTCTGCTAGTGGAAATCTAATACCATAGATTAATTTTGCCTGATTTTGGATTTTATATTAGTGAAATTGTGCAGTATGCATTTTTGTGTGTAGGTGGCTTCCTTTGCTCTTCATTTTGCTGTCCATAGCAATAGTCTTTTCATTTTACTTCCCTTTGTAGTAGCTTATCATTGGAGGTACACATATTACCCATTCTGATGCTCGTGGCTATTTGAATTGGTTTCTGTTGTGACTAAACGCTGTATTTGTTTCTACAAGAATATTATATTATATATTATATTATTTTAGCTACATTTAGTTATAATGTTTCTATTTCACTTCTCTCTAGAAATTAGCTCTGATATGAGTCTGTGTGTCCAACTTTATAAGGTTTCTTCTAAGTGGAAGAGGAACATTTATTTTATTAAATTGTAAATCTGTGTGTGTGTGTGTGTGTGTGTGTGTGTGTGTGTGTGTAGTGTGAGTGTGTATTCTGGGGCTTGAACTCAGGACCTAAGCAGTATTCCTTAGCTTTTTCAGTCAAGGCTGGGGTTTTACCCCTTGAGACACACCTGAACTTCTGACTTTTTGGGCACTGGTGGCTCATGCCTGTAATTCTAGCTACTCAAGAGGCTGAGATCTGAGGATCACGGTTCAGAGCCAACCCCGGGCAGGAGAGACCGTGAGACTCCTATCTCCAATACACCACCAGAAAACCGGAAGTGGAGCTGTGGTAGAGTGCTTGCCTTGAGCTGAAGAGCTGAGGGACAGTGCCCAAGCCCAGAGTTCAAGCCCCATGACCAATAACAACGACAACAAAAAGAGTCTCATTGACCTTCCTTCCAACAGTCATCTTCAGATCTCAGCCAACTGAGTAGTGAGGATTTCAGGCATGAACTACCAGTTCATGGCATAAATGCATTTGAAATATTAATTTTATTAGATTCATACAATTTCCTTGTTACTTACATCTTATCAGGTGATAAGTATTTGGCCTGAGATAGTTACCACTAAAATTAGCACAAACAACTACTTATCTTAGTAAAAACTTGGATGAATTAAAGTGATTTAGAATTGTTTGGATTATCATTTGATACGATTGAGAATGTTGTTCTCTCATTGAGGTCCAGCCTTGGGCTATTTTAGGAAGCCTTCCTCTTATTATGTTTATTTAAAGCAAACCAAAAAGCTCATTAGTCTAAAAGTATAACTGGTGAGTCAAAATTTCTGGGAAAGTACATTGCTATCAATTTGCCCAGAAATTATGGTTAGAATAACAAAGTTTTGACATCTGAGAGAAAACATCAACAACCCTAGACAATATACAAAAATAGTTCAACATGGAAGACTTTCTAGAATGATTATAGTGTTTCTATGTTCAGTGTTTACTGTTCCTTTAAAAAATATTTTTTTCCTGTTTCCTTGTTTAATGGGGGTAAGGAAGAGAAACAAACAGGTAAAAACTAAAGCTCATTTTGTGAGAAACCATGAATATATTCACTTATTTCAAAAAGAAAATATAATTCATTCACCCTCAAAAAATTTATAAATAACAGCTAGGGTGGATCATGATAAAAACAGGAAACAAAGCATAAAATTACTAGGTGCCAGTGGTACATGCTTGTAATCCTCTGCTACTCAGGAGGCTGAGATCTAAGGACTGCTATTCAAAACCAGCCTGGGCAGGAAAATCCATGAGACTCTTATTTCCAATAAAACTGCCCAAAGAAGTTGGAACTATAACTCTAGTTCAAGTGGTAGAATGCTATCTTTGAACAAAAGAAGCTCAGGGACAGTGCCCAAGCCTTGAGTTCAAGCCCCAGGACTGGCACATCCCCCCACCCCCCCCACACACACATACACACACACGTTGTAGCTTCACATAGCAAATTCTTTCCAAAGGGTCAATCTATTTGTGTCTGGTATTTGGAAAAGAACTTCTTGCACTCCAATTAATTTATTTTTTGCTTCAAATCTTACCAATTTTCTTACTCTTTTTCTTTTTGGAGGTAATGATGGAGAAGCTTCCAGTTCGTGTGTTTGACCATTGTACACCCACTATCATAATAAGGAATAGATCCTCTATTAGCATAGTGTGGGATATGGAAAATGAACAATTTTAGTTCTGTTTCACTGACTTTTCCAAATCAGCACAGAAGATTAAAGGAAATATTCAAATGATTCAGTGAAAAGATGTGTTTTTGTTTATTTTATTTTATTTTTGTTGGTCATGGGGCTTGTAGTCCAAGCCTGGGCGCTGTCCCTGCGTGCTTCAGCTCAAGGCTAGCACTCCTAACACTTGAGCCACAGCACCACTTCTGATTTTTCTGGTGGTTAATTGGAGATAAGAGTCTCATGGACTTTCCTGTCTGGGCTGGCTTTGAACCGAGATCCTTAGATCTCAGTCTCCTGAGTAGCTAGGATTATAGGGGTGGGCCACAAGCGCCTGGAAAAAGATGTGTTTAAAAAAAAACCTCAGTGGTAGAGTGCTTGTCTAGCATGCATGAAGCCTTGGGTTCGATTTCTTAGTACCACATAAACACTCTGTACCACATAAATAGAAAAAGCTGGAAGTGGTGCTGTGGCTCAAGTGGTAGAGTGCTAGCCTTGAGCAAAAAAGCTCAGGGACAGTGCCCAGGCCCTGAGTTCAAGCCCCAGGACAGGCAAAAAAAAGAAAAAAGGGAAATCCAAAAAAATAATTCTCCCAGTTTTGTGCTTTGTGATGAGCATTTACATTTCAAAGTGCACAAATAGCCTGCTACTAGTGGCTTATACCTATAATCTGAGCAACTCAGTATGCTGAGATCCAGAGGCTTGCAGTTCAAAACCAGCTCCAGAAGAAAGGAGATTCTATCTCCAATTAACCAGCAAGAGTTAGATGGGAAGTATAACTGAAGTGGTAACACACCAGAAAAGCAAATGCCCTGAATTCAAATCCCAGAGAATAATTAATTATACGACCAAATTATTTCTCTGGGTCTTTTTCAGATAATAATGTCTGAGCTACCTTTTACAAATGTAAAAGTTTACTAACTATAGGGGCAGGATTAATTTGGGCCAACATCTACACTAATTGGGAGAAAAAAAAACAGGTCAGATGAATAGTATTTTTGTAACCATACAGTAGCTTCTAACTACAGGGTTTGCTTTTCATTAGTCTGCAGCAATTGATACATCTGATCTGTTCTCTTTCCTCAGCAGTCTTCTCTTTCAGCTATTACCCACATTGCTGTGGTGTTCTCCTCCTTGCCTCCAGCTGTGGGCCCAGTATTTAGCCTCTTCCTGTCTCTTTATGCTAATTTCTTCCCACTGGAATTCATCCAGTTCACCCTTACTTTCGTGACAGGATTTCTGTCACTGTAGTTCTATCACTGGTAGAATATCACATATCTAGTAGTAATACATTAATGAATAATTTCCACCTTGCAACATTCTAATTTAGTATGTGCCACAATAGTTTCTCTTGGTCCCCAGTACTGAAACATTATGACAGGTTTTCGTCGTCCATTAACCCATTCCTCAGGATGTAGCAAATGCCTACTGGTACCAGGCACACTGCATGCCACATGAAATGAGGAGTGATTGGCCTTGAGTAGACAAGACATCTGAAAGACTGTGAAACCCTTTTTGCTTTTTTGTTCATTGAATTTTTTGGAGTACACCAAAGAACACACCCTTCAGATGTCCTAGGGAAAAATAGTAAATATTGCATTGTGTCTTTCTATATTTTGGACATTGTAAATGAATCTTAGTTCCAGATACTGTGTGAAAGGGAGTTTATTTAAGATTTTCCAAAAGCATAAATTCTTTTTTGGGGGAGGGTGAGAAAAATCACATTTATTAGCTAAGGACAACCACAGGCTGGACACAACACACATGCTAAAAAGTGGACTGTCTTTTAAAACTTCAAAGGTAAATAGGTATATATTTTTAAAAGCATACATTCTAAAAAATTAATTGAATTTTCTTTTTTTATTAATAATGTTAGTCCTCTTAATTTTAAGTAATTCCCTTTTATAAACTGCAAATTACTATGAATTGAGTCCTTTATTGCAATATTTGAGGCTTGCTTTTGCAGTTAAGTAAATGTTATATTTGCTTTTTAAGGCCTTATTATATTACTTAGGTTCGCCAGTCAACTTCATCACATTTTCCATATACTTCCCTACCCCAAATAAAACTTAATATGGTACTTTTTTGCCCTTTGCATATGTTTAGGAAATTAATATTACCTTAAACACGTAGTGAATTGTTTTTAAGTCATGGAAAAATGACATATCTCAATGAATTTTTATGTTAATAGCACATTATTAAGGTTGAATTTATTTAAATAAAACACACAACTCTCATGTGTATACCACATTGAATTTTGACATATGTATGTCAAAATGTATGTTGAATGTATGTCAAAATGCATGTCAGTGTGGCCATCACGCAGCTGAAGAAAAAGAACATTTCCTTCATCTTTGAAAATGTCCTTGTATACACCCTAGGAAAGCAAGTTTTTTTTTGTTGTTGTTGCAGATTGGTACTATCTGATTTTTATAGACAATGCCATACATAAACACCGTATAACATAGGAATTGTACAGTACATCTTTTGTGACTGACTGCTTTTGCTTACTATAAAGTCACATGCATAGATCTGTGCATCATTTCATGATTTTCAATGCATAATAATGACTGAGAATAATATCAATTAAATTTAAAAAATATTGTTCTAGCTGGATGCTGGTGGCTCATGCCTATAATCCTAGATACTCAGAACACTGAGATCTGAGGATCACAGTTTGAAGCCAGCCCAGGCAGGAAAGTCTCTGAAATTCTTTTTTTTTTCTTTCTTTCTTTCTTTTTTTCTTTGTTAGGCATAGGGCCTGGCACTGTCCCTCAGCTCTTCAGCTCAAGGCAAGCACTCTACCACTTGAGCCATAGTGCCACTTTCAGCTTTTTTTGCTTATGTGGTGCTGAGGAATCAAACCCAGGGCCTCATGCATGCAAGGCAAGCGCTCTACCACTGAGCCACCTTCCCAGCCCTCTCTGAAATTCTTATCTTCCATTAATCACAAAAAAGCGGGAGTGGAGCTGTAGCTCAAGTGGTAGAGTGCTAGTCTTGACCACAATAGCTCAGGGACAGTGACCAGGCCCTGATTACAAGCCCCAGAGCTAGCACAAATACAAAAAAAAAATTGCTCTTGGTTTTAATATAGTTCTTATATTTTCTAATTTTGGTTTCTGTGAGAGTTGCATTGTTATTATTCTTTTTTTTTTTTTGGGTCCGGTCGTGGGGCCTGAACTCTGGGCCTGGGCGCTGTCCCTCAGCTCTTCAGCTCAAGGCTAGCGCTCTACCACTTGAGCCACAGCGCCACTTCCTTTTTTCTTTTTGCTTATGTGGTGCTGGGGAATCGAACCCAGGGCCTCAGGCATGCAAGGCAAGCGCTCTACCACTGAGCCACCTTCCCAGCCCTGTTATTATTCTTTATTCTTTCCCCTATACTCATTTCATCATTAAGATTAGAATGTTAGGATTCTGGTGTTTTGATTTTTAATGTCCTAGACACAAGACACTATGCGATTTCCCCTAAAGTATCCATTTGATGACTTGTTTGGGGATGAAGGGATGTAACTGGTCCTAGGATCTAGAAAAGATTTTGCAACTCTGTTTCTAGAAGGATAATGGAACTAACCCACAAGGCCAAATGGGATATTGCCTTTCCTCCATTTAAAGGTGTTCCAAGATGGCATTCATCCCTGTTGTTTTTGATGATCATAATGGAACAGATGAACCATCTAATGCATCGACTTTGCTTTATTCACATGCTTGTTTGGTCCATCCCAGCCACTCACTATCATGGGAGATTCTTTTTTTTAATATATATTTGTTATTGTAAAGATACTGTACAGAGTTACATGAGTTACAGTTACATGAGTAAGGTAGTGAGTACATTTCCTCTTGAGCATTGTTACCTCCTTATTTGTTTTTCCCCTACCATCCCTTCCCTCCCCAGCTCCACAACTCCTTTCCCACTCCCTCCCTCCCCCCAAAAAGTTGTAAAGTTTGTTTTCAACATAGTGTCTTGTACATCTCATTGCTACAATGGGTCAACCTGTATCCTTATTCTGATCTTTGGTCTCTAGCAATGGCATTGGCCTTATAATCTGAACTTCAAGCACCCCAATCTTTGCCTATTACCTTTTCCTTCCAGCTGATTTCCTCTGGCATCTTACTGCTGATTTTCCTTCCTGCATTGAGAATTTCTCTGTCCATTAACTATTACTTACTCTCCTTGTCTGCACTGTCTACAGTAGTAATCATTTCTTTGAAAACATCTTCAATTCCCTTGCTTTCTCTTGCTCTACCATGTTCTCTTGGAAAATTTCCAAATCTAGTTGCTGAAAAAATAATTATTCAGCTAGCCACTGGTGGCTCACACCTGTAATCCTAGCTACTCAGGAGGCTGAGATCTGAGGATCGCAGTTCAAAGCCAGCCCCAGCAGGAAAGTCTGTGAAACTTATCTCCAATAAACCACCAGACAACCAGAAGTGGTGCTGTGGCTCAAGTGGTAGATCGCTGGTCTTGAGCTGAAGAACTGAGGGACAGCGCCCAGGCCCAGAGTTCCAAAAAAAAAAAAAAAAGTACATAGAAATTTCCTGAAGTAAGCATAAAAATGCCAGTGTGAGTAACAGCAATCATTCTATGCTGTTCTACCAATAGTGAAACATGTAGTTTCAGGTGAATGAGACAAGATATGTAGAATTAAATAATTTTCTCACCACCAAATTAGTATGTAGTCTTACAAAAAATTAGTGAACCAAAAAAATTGCTTATAACAAAATTGTATTTTTTCAGAACGCTGCAAATGTAAGCCAATTAGAGCTACACAGAAGACCTATTTCCGGAACAATTACAACTATGGTAAGAATAACTTCATGAGGGATTCATATTGCTGCATTAATGTGTGTAAGTGAGACGAAGCCAAAGGATCACAAAGGCCAATAGCTATGTGCATATGATCATATAAAATGATATTTATGGAAATGAACTCAAGAAATGGAAACAAGAGGTTTTCCCCCCTCAATTGCTGTTTTTGTTTTCTGTACTTTTTGTCTTGTTTGTAAGTTTACTCTTTTGGGGAGAAGAAGGGGAAAGCACAGAAATGGAGGGACAAAGGGTGAACAAAGGAAGCAGTGGTACTCAGTGGAAACTCTGTTGAAAATGAACTATACAACTTGTGGGCGGAGACAGGAGGGAAAAATTGGGAGAAAGCTAGGAAGGGGTGACACTGTTCAAAAAGAAATGACCTCATTACCTGACTTAAGTAACTGTAACCCTTCTGTACATCACCTTTACAATACCAATAAAAGAAGATTCATTATACTCAGAAGCTGACATGTTGAATAATAATCCTTCGGTATAACTACTAAAGGAAATAACATTATAATTAAGTGGGAAAAAAGCCTTTGTAATAGGTAGAACCTTGACAATGCATTGCTGAGATGCCATATCTGAAGAACTACCTTTGTTGCATGCATCTTTTTCCTCCTGAAAGAATTAGAGTGGGTCACTCAAAGCTTAATTGCTCCTGTTTTCTCAGTATAATATTTACTTAAGTGTTTAGTAACAGAAATAAAGCATATTATTAAAAAAAAGAAGTATCTGTGTGTCACATATGCATGCTGACATATATGTAGGTGAACAGACTAGTTTAAGAAAAAGACTTAAAAACAAAAGACATTTGGGGGAGGGGCGGGGGTTGTGGTGGGTCCTAGGGTTCGAACTCAGGGCCTGGACACTGTCCTTTTTGTTCAAGGCTAGCACTCTTGAACAGCTCCACTTCCGGGATTTTGGTAGTTTGATGTCAATAAGAGTCTTACGGACTTTTCTGCTCAGGTTAGCTTCAGTCTCCTGAGTAGCGAGGATTACAGACCTGAGCAAAGGACAACTTTTAAAGCACAAGCATTTACTTGAACCAATGAAAATGTGTCCTGTGGGCGAAGTTCTTAATAGATGTTTGATTGTGAACCTATCTGGCAGCATGCTTGGCATTTTAGGACCACAAATCAAAACAGAGGCACTGTTCTCTACCCAGAGGTTATGTGTCATTGGGAGGAAGAGAAGACCTTGGAGGCATAAGGAGACTGTTGCTTTCTCCCAATGACAGAGGCGGAAAGTAGCACTTAGTAAAAATTTTTGGTATTCACCTGAGGAAATGCTTCCTTATCAAGCTGAACCTAAAAATGTGACATTCTGGTAAGTCTTAATTGTAGAGCTATGAATCTAAATACAGCTGGCTTAACTCAAGGGGGATAAAGCCTGCTGCTGCCATGTGAGGAAGTGTGCTCAGGTTGATTCACACACCAGCTTATGTAAGTTTCTCAACTCTTCCATGAAATGAATTGGTATCCTGAGAACACTGATTGAACCCAAGTTGGCTCTTCTTTAATTATTCAAAATGTGACATCGAATACTGGTGCCTTGGTGTCATAAATAATCACCATCATATCCGGAAGGGGTGATTACTAGAGCTTTCCAGTGGGACTCCTCAATATATGTGATGTTCCATAGGTATTGTGTTACAGTGTTTTTCTAGTTATAGGTTGAACCCCTTATCTGCTTGAGACCAGAAGCATTTCAGATTTTGCCTCTTGGATTTTGGAGTATTTGCAAATACATAATGAGATACCTGAAAATGAGAACTTATTTATGTGTCATAATACCTTGTGCACATTGCTTGAAGGTAGTTAGTTGTACGCAGTATGTTGAAGGCACCTGCATTTTTATCATGACCTGACACATGCGGTCAGTAGCCCATAGTTAATTTTCCACTTTCTGTTGTTGTGTGGATGCTCAAAGTTTTGGATGTTAAAACTTTGGATTACAGGCTGGGAAGGTGGCTCAGTGGTAGAGTGCTTGCCTCGCATGCATGAGGTTCTGGGTTCAATTCCTCAGCACCACATAAGCAGAACAAGTCGGAAGTGGTGCTGTGGCTCAAGTGGTAGAGCACTAGCCTTGGAGCTGAATAGCTTCGGGACAGCGCCCAAGCCCTACAACTGACAAAAAAAAAAAAAAAAAGGATTACAAATACTCAGCCTATATCTATACGATTGATAAAGGTCAGCTTACCCTCTTCAGAGCGTTATTGATGCTAAGTCAATGGGAAAAATTTGGCCATCAAATAGATTTTTACAGTGAATTTTCTTATTAGAATGAGAGTTTCATTATGTTTATGTGCCCTCTATTCAGGGGATCCCTCCCCACACACCCACATATATGCACATATGCCCATATATATGTGTATGTATATATGTCAGATTTATTTCCCTTTCTCTATTTTTGGGAATTGGAAGGAAAGAAATGGAAATGACTCTGTAGAATTAATCTTTGATATCTTGAAAAATAATAGATAATGTAGAAAATTCATGGTATAATTAAGTCTCTTCAAGAAGGGCTTCTCTTCAATTAAGTCAGTTTTTACTTTTGATTAATACTCATCTGAACTAAAATCTAACTGCCTCCTCTTCCTCCTCCACACATTCCAAGGTTGAAAGCTTCTGTTGATCTGAGAATCCAAACTGATAGGAAGTAATTCAGGGGAAAAGGTGGCCTTAATTTTTCAGAGACTATTTTTTGCTATGTTTATTTGTGCTGGTCCTATGGCATGAACTGAGGGCCTGGGTCTGAACTGAATTTTCTCAAAGCTAGCACTCTACCACTTGAGTCACAGCTCTATTTCTGGTTTTTTGGAGGTTAATTGGAGATAAGAGTCTCACTGAGAGGCTTTCCTGGTCAGGCTGGTTTTGAACCACATTCCCCAGAACTCAGCCTCCTGAGTAGCTAGGATTATAGACGTGAGACACTGCTGTCTGGCATTAGATATTAGACTGAAAAGTGATGTGAATGTTTAAGTGTAGCTAGAATAAAAGTAAAAATGTTACATTGTACTATGGAAATTTAGCCATTTACTTGTCTTTAATTATGATTAATTTTCATATTACATAGCTATTTTGGGTGCTGTGAAGCCTGGTGCTGGTATTTTTGTTAAAGATTAAAATACTAGTGGTTATGAGTCACTTGACTTAGAGGGATAGTCTTAGAGAAGGTACGGAATGAATACTATAAAGGAATATGAGATATGGATCATAATTACTAGAAAGGAGGAGCTTTTTTTTCATAACCAATCACCAGATTGCCCATAGTTAAAGTATACAGATCCTTTGGGGGAATCCTATGATTGAAGAGAAGGAAAAATCTCAGAAAAGGAAATGTATATTTACTTTGGAAATATGTTGATTTTTATTTTATATATTATGTTATATATTTGTATATTGAAACCAAGTAGGGTAGGAGTAATTGGTAAGCCATATAAAACCTCTTCCTCATTCAGATTCATTCAGTTAAAAATTCTTGAGTTTTAACAAAATTACTTGCATAATAAAGTAGGTCTTGTAGAGAGATATTTATTTTGGAGTGGGTACATGTGCTAAAAATTTCTAATAAAAATAGTAGACACATTGGGTAAATAAATCATTAGTTTGAGAACATTTACACAGCTCACTAATTGCTAATAGTTGATGGATACTATGAAACACATTTACTTAAGCCAGGACACAAAAATATGTCTTCAAGCTGGGGTTAAGAATTCATCATTCAATTCTCTCTAGTGACATTCTAGAAAGGGCAATCTTCTCTCTTGTTAAAATACAGAATTGAGAAAATGGGAACAGGAGAAGATTCTACTTGCAAATCATGCCAGGCAGAGCCAGTTAGACCAGTACATTTTATTTGTCACAAGTTCTCATACTTAAGGCAATGGATTTTTTAAAGGCTGAAATAGTTTTGATGGCAAAATTAGGTTTTATCCTAAGAATCTTAAAAAGTACTAACTTATTTTCTGTTATCTGTAAGTTGCACTGGGCATTATTAAGTTTCTATAATAGTTGGAGCATTGGTGAGCATTGATTCAGTCTTTCCATTTTCATGGATTACTTTTTCTAATCATTTGTATTTCTGACCCCATAAAATACATGAGAAATTTAACAAATGAAAGTGGTTTGCAGATTTGTCCCTAAGAAGCTTTCAAAAAGTGCACTTAAAAATGGACCCACTGCGTTTTCTTCATTATCCATAGATCTTGAGCTGGCACAATCAGTGTGTCTAAGCAAATTCTATCAACTGCTTGCTAATTGGCATTTTTATTTATTATTTATTTTATTGTTTTTATTTTAAAACTTACCTTTAAAAAGCTCATTTACCAGAAAAAGGAATTTGGCTTTCCCAAGGAGAGATTGGGAAAATATCAGGACTGTGCTTTCTATACTCTAAGTCAAATAGTTTGACTTTGCAACTGAAGATTGAGAAGTAAATCTGACTCCAATGAGGCGGATGAAGTGCCCGGATCACCATTGTGAGAGACAGATGATCAGTACTAGCAGGCTAGAACACACTCCATGATATCTTACTGGAGAGGAGTGCTGGGGTGTCTGACCTCAAAAATTATAGAAGAACCAAGGTTTATCAAAGAAGAAAGTATCTAAAGGAAAATAGAAAAGATAATCTATACTGAAACAGAGAAAGAAAACAGTTCGTGTTTGAACAGTGAGCTAAGGTGAGAAAGGTATAAAGATTGCAGAACTAGTTTGAGAAGAGACCCCCCTACTTGAGAAAAATATATTAATAATGCTTCTGAAGCATAAAAATGTGAATATCTATGTTTCATGTATGATGAAGTTCATATATTTTACTTCGTTGGCAGCAAGTGGGACTGTGTGCTTATACACATACACACGCCTATAGCCAAAATGAAACCTTGGAGGAAAGTCATGTCAGATTAAGCTTTGATAACCTAAATGGATTTCTTAAAATGAAAAGCATGCACACACAGGTGCATATATAAACACAAATACATTGTTTACACACTAAAATTGGGAGAGTGAATCATTAAAAGGGCAGATGTCCTATTCAGTTGCTCATTCACTCCAGTCTAAAACAAAAGTATCTGGCTGACTTTTCTTCTTTACTCATTGAACATCAAGGGAAAAAAAGAATGATTAGAAAGGAGCCAACTACTGTCGTTTCTGAGTGAGATGCCTATGGTGTATCATCTTGTGAAGTTGGCTCTATTATCTTGTATTGCAGTCATTAGAGCTAAAGTCAAAGAGGTGAAGACTAAGTGCCATGATGTGACTGTAATAGTGGAGGTGAAGGAGATTCTCAAGGCATCTCTGGTGAACATTCCGAGGGACACTGTGAACCTCTACACCAGCTCTGGCTGCCTGTGCCCTCCACTCCACGTTAATGAGGAATATATCATTATGGGCTATGAAGATGAGGAGCGCTCCAGGTAACTCATGCCTCAAGGATGCAGAATCATTTCCTTGCCTAGCTACTCTCTGCAGATTTTCTTTAGAGATCTTACCTTGAGACCTTTCTACTTTCTTAGGGACTAGGTTTAATTGGATTCCTCAGTTTCCTATGTTGGGTAGAAAGGGCTGTGTGTGGAACTTATAGGTATGAATTTCTCCGGAGAGAGGAACCATAGCTTCATTTGTTTCTTAAAAGTTTCTGTGGCTCCCAAATGGTGATGATTTACTGTTTGCAAACTTGGCTTTCCTATTCTACAATAAACACATTAGACTGTCTTGGCATAGATTTCATGTATATCTTGGTACTGTGCTTTAATTTTTCAAAAATGAGTGCTTGTTTTAAAAATGCAGGTTACTCCTAGTGGAAGGCTCTATAGCTGAGAAATGGAAGGATCGACTTGGTAAAAAAGTGAAGGTAAGCATATATTTTATGTTTGAAACCGTAAACTACGCAGAAATCGTAAGGAAGCCATCCATTGGTTATATCAATGAAATAGCTATCCTCAATTATATGAGAAATTAAAGCCTAATCCATATGTATTCATATCCTTTGGTAGTCCAAGAATTGAGTTTGTATGTAGTATCTTCTGTAAGGGAAGAGTTCCTTTTATATGCATCAAAGATGCAACTATGGTTGCCCTAACTTTTCATAACAATGCTAGCTGGAATTAGTCCAGGTAAGGTAGCCCCATATTATCAAGATAGATTATTTTTCTGCCATTTTAGCGTGTTACCCTAATTCCTTGGAGGTCATACTTTACCTCCAGCACCAGGCTTCATTTTATGAAGAAAGAAAGGGGAGACATGAGGCATTTTCAAGAGTTCGACTCAATAACATTTTGTAGAAGTTTTAGTGAAGATTCAGCGACATGTCAATCCCGAGCTGTAAAGGGAGATTAGAATATGTAAGGTTTTCTTTTTTAGCAGAACATACTGATTTCTGGACGAATTGTGATTCTGTGAGAAGAGGAAAGTAAAGAGGGATAGGTAAATGATTTCATTACAGAACATTTACATTCCTTCTGATTGCACTAAATAACTGTTTCAAAGAAAAGGAATGTGTGGGGGAAATGCACAGAATCAAGAATCTCAAAGGATGTGTGTAAAGAATGGGGGCGGGCAGTGGGAACTGCACCAAACATAATACATCCTCTTCCTTCTGCGAGTTGGAAGGCTTGAGAAACATTTACAGGGTAAGTTAAACACCCTTGGGCAGTTGATCTTGTACATCTGGCACTCAACACAGCAGACACTTTTGGATTTAATTGACCTAGAGAAAAATGTAGAGGACATTATTTTGTAGGGAGAAATTATCACCACTTAAATTCCTTAAACCCTACTCTCTCTCCACAATATTTTTAAAAGTGAGATTCATTTCAACACAGACTTGTGGTCAGCCTCTTTTTGTACCTCTCCTCTGTTCATTTGGTGTTTGTTATAGCAGTGGCTCTTCTTCAGTTATCTTGGAATCTCTTTCTGCCCTTTTAATTTGGTTTTCTGCTTGCTAATGCTGAACAGGAATTTGTCCTAAATTCCTGTACCAGTTGGAAGAGCTTACAACATCTCTACTGCAGGGCACTTAACAAACTGAGCTGTTTATGTCATTGACAGGACACATGGCTTCTTTGTCCTGTTTTGTACAAGGTGAACATATTTTCCACTGCTTTCTCCAGGTAATACAGCTATTGTGAGGTGATCTGCATTCTCAGTCTGGAGAAGAAATAAACCAATAATGAGCATTTTAGAATACTCAGGGCCAAAGACTCTGGGTGAAAAATCTCTTTTCTTATTTTAGTTCTCCACTTAATCTGAGAATGTAAAAAAGAATTTTTATAGAAGATGCTCATTTTTTTAAAAATTTAACTAAAAGTCGCTCCTTTCAACTGAGGTTTGCTCTAAGCAGGTAAATCAAGTATTTTTTTAAGACCTTTATTTAGTTTTTCCACACAAACAATTGTTCATCAAAATATCTGTTAAAGCAGATTACTCAAACGTAGATATTAAGACTGTCTTGGGGAGATGAGAATCAGATCTTTTTTTAAAAAATAATTCCATTGTTTTTATTAAGGTATTGTACAGAGGGGCTACAATTTCATAAGTCAAGTAATAAGTACATTTCTTTTTTGGACAAAGTCACCCCTTCCTTAATTTCCCCCCATTTTTCCCCACCCATCCTTGCCCACAAGGAGAATCAGTCTTGTAAAAAAAATATAAAGTAATAAATATGGAAGTAAAGCTCTCTTAAATGAAGACTTTCAGCCATAGAAAAAAAGTATCAGCTAAGGGATTATGTACACTTTATGTACACACTTTATACATTTTTCTTCAGACTTCAGAACAGTCACAGCATTTGAACCTGCTATTAATTCTAATACAGAAATGAGGAAAATGAGGTCTACTAAGTTTAAGAAACTGCATAATAAGTAGTGGAATTAGAATTTGAATGTGGGCCAGCTGACAATTAGCTTCTTGCAATGTAGGTCTCAGTCTGGAGCTTATTGGGTAGGAAAAGCTTTGGGCTGCACCCCAGACCTACTGAATGAAACTGTACATTTTAAACAAGTTTCCCAGGTGATTTTGATGTTCCTGGAAGTCTGACAAGTACAGATGTATTTTCTATCTACTACCTCTACTCTTAGTGTAACTTCCATTTAATTTAATCACATGAAAACATTTTGCTAGTGTTAACTTACAATATTAGTAAACATGATTGTGTTTATTAAAAGAAACATTACAATGCTTACTTTGTAAAACTTGGGGTAAGGGCAGGGGCTTGAATTGTTTGTGGCACCACATAGAGATTACTTAAATTTTTTTTTTAGAGTCACTACCCAACTATTGTTTTTCACTGCTTAAAGCAAACAGGTTTGAAAAGTTTATGTTGTTATGTGTCTTAAGAGAGGATGATAAATGTAGCCCTTCCTTTGAATTCTCAGTATGTCTTTCATACTGAGGCAGTGGTCGATATTTGTACAGTCATGGAGATATTTAAATTTAAGGTTTGATATGAAAGAATTACTGAGTATATTATGGATGGCATACTTTGTACTTTTTAAAACCAAAGCATATAGTGTTTCTTTCACTGGTACTCTGAATAGGAATTTTATATTTCTGTACAAGTAATAAAAGTGCTTTAGAGCTGACTTTGTAGTCTTATCTAGGTGGGAAAGTCATAGAAATGATGTTGCTGGTGGTATATGCAAGTGATTATGTTCTGCCATTCATTTCACAGCGCTGGGATGTGAAGCTCCGTCACCTTGGACTGAGTAAAACCGACTCTGGCATTGGTGATTCCACGCAGAATCAGAAGTCTGGAAGGAACTCCAACCCTCGGCCAGCACGCACCTAAAACCCAAATTGCACAAATAACATCAATGGACTTTCCGTGAAGACTTGCATTGCTGGACTGGCAAAGGAAAATTGCACTATTGCACGGCATATTCTATTGTTTACTACAAAAATCATGTGGTAATTCATGACATTTCTCTTTCCTTTTTGTTTTTAATCCCACCTTTTAATGGCCTGGGGTTAGAGCCTTAAATAATATTGTATGTTTTCTATTTTACTAAATGTGGGGAAACTGATCTTTTGCAATAATAGTAAATTAAACATGCTGATCCCAGGACCTCTTTGCTCGAGTTCCCAGATGTTAATTTTGTTTTCTGCACTCAGATTGGGAATGTAACAGTGATGTAAAGAGAGATTTCTGGTATACAAAGAAAGCTAGATATGCTGTGAAATAGTCTCTTGCTGATCTAATTACAGTGTATGCCTTTGGGCATTCTCCTTATGCTTAGAAAGTTCTAAATGTTTATAAAGGTAAGATGGCAGTTTGAAATCAAATGCCGCACAGGCAAAGCAATTAAGCACCAGGAAACATTTATGAGATAATGACACACAGGATGACTTATTTTCAAGATTGGCAGGAAGCAAAATAAATAAATAGTGTTAGGAGCCAGGGAAAGAACACTTTCTTGATTGGGAAGCACAATCAAAACCAGTAGCCTTGAAGGCATGAACAGTAGTAGCCTTCCTCTACTGGCCATATGTTTGATTTGTTCCTGAATGCGTTAATCAGCAGTAAGGAAGTGACTTACAATCAGTCATCTGCTATTATCACCATAGTTCTGTATAATCTGATTGTTTTCTAAACTCCTTAGTGAAAGTTTCTCTCTCAATCTCTCTCTGTCTCTGTCTCTTTCTCCTTTCATAATAAAATGGACTTGCTGTGTTGATCAGGAAAAGAAAGTATGTATGCATGTGTACCAAGGCTTTGTTTTTTCAAAGATATGTAGCTCTATAAAATGGAGTGGTTTACAGTACGGTGAAACATGAAAAGTGTTTTCTTTTTCAAAAATTTGGTGTGTGTGTGTGTGTGTGTGTGCGCATGCGTGTGTGTGTTTCTATATTTGTGTGCATGTGGGTTTATGCACTCACACACAAACTTGACTAAATTACAGGCCTGGGCACTAGTTTAGAAATTATTGTTTGGATTTATATTGCTTAATGCTTAGTTAAAAAATGCCTAATAAAAAGAATTATGGTGTCGGGACAGAGGTACTCTGACTTTTGAACCAAATATACATTCTCATTATCCAAGCTGCGGTAAAACCCCCTGGGACTATGGGAGGAAATCATGTTTTACTTCTTTCCTCCAGGCGGGTTCCTTAGAACATGTGCCAATCACTTGAAAGTCTCCTTCCCTGTGATTTACATGTGTGATATTCTAGAACCAACTTTCTAACTGGTTTGCTAAAAATAAAATGCATCTGAAGCAAATGGGGTCTGTGTTTTCTTCAATAAGGACAATCATACAAGAATGAAACTCATTTCTGAACAAAAGTTTCCTACATTGGTAACTAACAATTCATTGAAGTGCTCTCTTTTAAAAGCAATGAAGCATTCTCACCTTCCAAATAACTCCAAACCAATAGCTCACCCAATCCCACAGGCAGGAATTCCCATAGTTGCCTAGAGGAATAACATAAGATTGTTTTTAGGTATTTTGCTGCCTACCATTTGGATTATATTCTCCAGTGTGGGGGACACATCTCTAGATGCTGTGTTACAGTCTTTAGGTGTGTTTGGGTGATGTAGGTCATGATGAAAAGAAATATTGTAGAGTTTCTTTCTCTTTTTTTTTTTTTTGGTCAGTCATGGGGCTTGAACTCAGGGCCTAGTTGCTGCCCCTGAGCTTTTTTTTTTTTGCTCAAGGCTAGCATTCCACCACTTTGAGCCAAAGCTCCACTTCCCATTTTCTGGTGATTAACTGGAGATAAGAGTATCATGGAATTTCCTGCTGGGGCTGACTTTGAACCGCAGTCCTCAGATCTTAGCCTTCTGAGTGGCTAGGATTATAGATGTGAGCCACCAGCTGTTGAGATTCTTCTCTTGGAATGTATGCCCCACCTTGAGTTTCCAGAGGGAGTGCATCTGCCTCAGGTTCTTTTATATTAATTCCTGAGAAGGGTAAAAATGAATTAAAGAAGGCCTAAAGAAACTTGTATCTCAATTTCCCCAAATGTCACCAACTTTTCCAGAGCAAATCTAACTAATGAAGTTTTATTTTTTGAAATTATTTTAAGAGTTCAGGGGTAAATCCCATAACCCTGAAAACACTGAGCAAGTGCTCTACCACTGAGCTACTCCCACAGCCAGTAATGAAGTATTTGATTACAATGAAAGCCACAGGTGCTTCTAGCTCCTTTAGGGTATGCTTTTGGAGTGATGAGGTTAAAAAGGTCATAATTATTTTCTTTGTAGGAATTCAACACAATTTATGCTTAAACTATTTATAAATAAAAAGGGCCAGATTCTCAGATTCACTAGCAATTTTTACTGTTTTTCTTTTTCTTTTTTTGGTGGCTGTGGGGCTTGAACTCTGGGCCTGGGCGCTGTCCCTCAGCTCTTCAGCTCAAGGCGAGCGCTCTACCACTTGAGCTACAGCGCCACTTCCGGTTTTTTGGTGGTTTATTGGAGATAGGAGTCTCACGGTCTCTCCTGCCCGGGCTGGCTTTGAACTGCGATCCTCAGATCTCAGCCTCCTGAGTAGCTAGGATTACAGGCGTGAGCCACCGGCGCCAGGCTAATTTTTACTGTTTTTCATTGAATGATCTATACGGGTAGTTTGATTTTGCTTGTCTGGACGAAGGTTTTGTCATTTTAATTTCTAATGGGATGAAGTCAGTGGTTTCTTTCTGTTTGAAAATCTGTGATATTGCCGGGCGCTGGTGGCTCACGCCTGTAATCCTAGCTACTCAGGAGGCTGAGATCTGATGATTGCGGTTCAAAGCCAGCCCGGGGAAAAAAGAAGGTGAGACCCCTATTTCCAATAAACCACCAGAAAACCGGAAGTGGTGCTGTAGCTCAAGTGGTAGAGCGCTCGCCTTGAGCTGAAGAGCTGAGGGACAGCGCCCAGGATCAGAGATCAAGCCCCACGACAGACAAAAAAAAAAAAAAGAAAATCTGTGATATCCACATTAATTGAAGGATGGCATTTCATCATGAAGGTCATGTTTTGAATCTGACCACAAAAATCATTTCAGTTAGTGCCTCTCTGCAGGCATTTCTTGCAACTACTAACTTTGAAAGTCACCCACACTTAATATATGTGCATCCTTATCCGTAAGCTTGAGATCTATAAAGTCAACTTGAGAGTTCCTCAGGATTTAAGTTTCCTTAGCCAGATAACAAAGAAAGTCAGATGCATGTTGCATACACTAGGGAAACTCGGCAGTAAATTAGGATCCTCTTTTCCATGGATACGAGAGTATTCTACGGTGTCACATATAGAGTAATCTGATGCAAGGCCATATGCTGCAGTGAGCATTTGGGGGTGGGGTGGGACAAACTCGTATCTTTCCACATCTGTTACCTATTAAGAAAGCAAATGAGAAAGTTACAATCATTGTGAGTAAATAGCACTACTTACTGCCTTCTGCAAGAAATTATTTGCTATTACATCCCACCAGTAAAATGGTGTTTAAAAAAAAAAAACGATTTCAAGGTTGGTATTCATTTAGCTTCATGAATTTTTAACGTATTTTAATACACACCGTCGTTGAAGAAAATGATAAAAATGAAGTGAAACAGAGGTTTCTAAGACTGTGTTACTGAAATGCAGCCAATAGAATTTAAAAATATGCTCTCCAGTTGTAGTAATAAGAAAAAACCGTATAGTCATAAAGTCATACCTTTGGTAGTGATTTCTTTTGGGTAATAATATCCAAAAGTGGCTTGAGCTCTGTACAAACACTTGCACGTGCATTATTTGTCCCTTGAAAGTTTTTGAAGTAGGCAGTGCTGTTCCTATTTTATAGATTTATTTTAAAGAAGTAAAGATTCAGGATCCCAGTTATATAAGTAGTAGAGCTGCGTGTTAGATCCTCTTGCTTTTATTTCTAAAGTTACATTTTTGTAACCATTGTAATTGCTGGCAAGAAGGTAAGTGTATCCTAACATTGTAAAAATGCACAGTGCAAGCTGCTACTATTTATTTCTTAAACGAGGTCTATTGATGGTGTGTCAGAAAGCCCATATAATGAAATCCCAACAACCTTAATACTGTCACTCTTCCTCTTCAATTGTTTTCCCTCCCATGAAATAAATTTTGTAATGTGATTCCAGTACAGGATGATCAGGTGAATAAACAAAATGAATATTTTGACATTAGTAATTTTTATGTATTTTTTTATTGTGAAAATACTGTACAGAGGGGTTTCAATTACGTAAGCAAGATAATTAGTACATTTCTTATCAAGCATTGTTGCCTCCTCCTTTGTTTCCCCTTCCCAGCCCTTCCCATCTCCCCGCCCCCCAACCTCCTATACCCCTGCACCAAAGTTGTAAAGTTCATTTTTCGACATAACATCTTGTACATCTCATTGTTGCAGTGGGTCCACCTGTATCCCTATTTAAACAATTAGACAGTAGTTTAAAGAGATATTATTTGCAGTGAAAAAAATGTTATTTATCTGTTTTCCCTTGAATTTAGAGAAAAGTATGAAGTTAATAGTAGACAAGAAAGCCTAAAGGAAAGTTAAAATTGAAAGTTTATGGTTACCACAAATAAAACTAGAATGTCCACCATCTACTGGAAACTTCTATTTCTCATATTTATATCATTCCTTTTATGCCCTCCACTACCAGAGTCCAGCATACTCTAGAAAGAAAACTATTCTGTATGACCCAATTCCCCTTGATTTATTTCATGAAATATTTTACTTCTGAAAAGGATGCAACACATGGCTGAAAAACAGAGATTTTTTCTTTGGATAAAATGGAAGCATCATTACATCATTTGTTTCTACTTTGGTGAACGTTAAGCACTTCAATTGTTGGCCCATGAAAAAGTTAAAGTGACATATTCAAGGAAGTTGTTTCAAAAGGAAAGGGTTTGTAGACTGGTGAGACTAATGCAAAAATGAAAGAAGATTGTTTCCCACTAACCACAGGATGTGTCTGTGTGTGTGTGTGTGTGTGTGCGTGTGTGTGTGTGTGTGTGTGTGTGCGTGTGTGCGTGTGTATGTTGATGCTACTTATCATGCAGCGATACTACACCCACACTTCTGGCTGCCAACCCACCCCCACCCACTTAGCACCATGAAATAGGACTGACTTTATGACAAGTTTTCTTGTTTAAACATAATGACAAATAGAACTAACAACTGAAGGTGGCTGGGTTCACTCTGATATCTTTTTTCTCCAGTATTTAGGTTATCTAGAAGAACCAGAGCTTCCTGGAAATGGCATCTCTGTATTAGTATTAAAGACCAAAACTTAACTCTGGGAGAACTCAGAACGCAAAACAAAGTATCATATGAACAAAACTACAATTGAGAACCTTTCCTGTGACCTCAAGTGATATATCAAAGCTTTAGAGAGAACTAGGAAACTGAAAAATGCTGTGCCCACAAAGACTACATTGTCCTGTCTGTACACATTCATCTTTTCCTCCTTATATTTTCTACCTATTCTGCTTCTCAGATTGCTTGGCGAAATAAGTCAGATACAAGCCTGCCTTAATTAAATTCAGAATTGCTAAAGGATCAGATTTAAGGCTAATAGAAGCAACTGGTATTCTTAAAATGTATCAACCAATATCAAGCTCATCTTGATTTCTTTTATTAGGTTCCCCAGCTCAGAGAGTCTAGTCTTAAGCTACTCTAGGCTCTTCAACTTGATACATGCCCTACCTCTTTTATATGTGTTTTGTTTTTGAAGTAGGATGAAGCTAACTTTTGTCTGGGCTGGCCTCAAATTTGAGATCCTGGCTTTGCCTCTTGAATAGCTAGGATTCAAGGTGTATACTGCCACATCTGGCTCTAAGCTGCTCTAAAGCTAAAGTTCCTAGAGCTAAAGTTTTTCCACAATCATTGTTTTTTCTTGGGAACAGCCCATTAGATATTTAATCACCAAGTTCCTCTTCCATACAATGAAAAGGACCTTGGAGTTGGGATACCAGCATTCAAATTCCCACTTTGCAATGGATTGACTTTGGCCTTGTCCATGAGTTTCAAACTGAGGAGAGATGAGCTGCATGGAGACTGTTAAATAGAGCCTGGAACATGTAGATGCATCTATTACTTCTGAGTACTTTACGAGGCATACAACTCCCAAACAGGGCTCAGGCAAATGCTACAAAGCCTGGAAAAAAAGTGTTTTCCAAGAGAACCTATTCTTCACCCTGTTCTCTCTCTTCCAAGTTAAAGATAACAGAACCAAAAATTGTCTTGACTCATCTTTGAAATGAAGATTGACAGTTTTTTTTT